AATCTTCTTCATGCCCCCAAATTATCTTTACATTGCCTCTTGGTAAGCCTCCTCCCTGCAGTTACCAGCCCTCCTTTCTCCATGCAAGGAGAAGGGGAATCTATTCCCCACTTCCTTGTATCTGAAGGTTTGTGCGTTCTTCACATCCTACTATTTAAAGCAAAGCCTCACGCTCCTCACCAAAGGAGGGCAGCAATTATCCCCATGCATCTGCATAGTGTAATGAAGAGGCCACACAGTGTTATCTCTAGCAGAACTTAGAAAAAACATGCTTTCTAGCATGGCATGTCTCCATCCCACTCACTGAGCCACAAGTGCCTTTCAGAAGGACCCAGCAAAGTCTGTTCTGTTTGTGGAGCAACTACAATATGATGCATCAGCAGCTTCCAGAGCAGCTGATGGGCTCACTGTCTCCTCTGTCCGTGTGTGTAATTGCTGCATTAGCTCATGTCAGAGTTCATTGTAAACCCCACTGAGATAAGGATAAGGAGGAGGTGGGGATGGCCCTGGTTTTGATAAAGGCAGAAGAGAGCTGGGTGGTAGCAGGAAGGACAGAGGAGATGGATGGGCAGAACATTGAGCCTTTCTCACACAGACTGACCAGCATGTTTTTGAGAAGGCCAAATACTTGATGTGTGGCTGATGGTTGCACTGGGCAAGCAGTAGGTAGAAGTCACYGCTGCTGCATGTGCTTGTGTTGCAGAATGATTTTTGTGTGTATAAGGGTGTGGGGGAAGGGAAGCGTGTGCTGGGGGGGTGGTTGGTGTTTTGTGGGCCAGATATGGAAAGAGATGGGAGGCCATATAGTGTGTGGGAGGCTGCTAACGTGTATGAAGGGGGACACCGATGGATAAGCCAAGATGGTGTGTAGACAATGTGTGAGCCATGCGGGACRGAGAGGCTGGGCCTTGTGTGCATGGGGGTGTATGTATGTGTATGTGTGTATATATATACATGTCTATATATACATACATACATGCTGAAGAGCTGTGCAGTTGTTTAAAATCTCTGTTTATTCAGAGATTTCCAGGGTTTGTGAGTAGAGAAATATCTAACCCAGGATTTAACAGTGTTGTTGACAGAGAAGGGAGAAGAAGCTTCATATATGTAAAGTGGGCAGTAGAAGGAAACTGTGTGTGTGTGTGCGTGCGTGCAACAGAGATGGATGAGCTCTGTGTGCCAAAGGCTGGAGGCTGGGAACATGGGTGGGTATGGTGGCATTTCTGCTGGGTGCATTGGGTTGGCCTGTGGGCACAGCAGGGCTGTGCTTGCAGGTGGGTAGTGTGGGCAGATGGACAGTGCATGGACTTGAACAGTGTATGGGGTGTGTGAGGGCAAACTGTGTTCAAAAGGAGAGCTGGTCTGTGGAAGACTAGTTTTGCTCTTCAGGGCTCAGATAGAGGCTGATTTAGACTGAATTTAAGGCCCTGGTAGCAGCATGTTTGACCGTGTGGACCTCTTTCTGCAGGGGAGCTTACTGGTGCCAAACAACATATGAGCTGTCTGTGTGGAGGAGCCCAGGATGGGTTGTAAGCGTGTGAATATGGAAGATGGCAGCTCAAGTGAGGCTTGGAGGTGGCTGGGAATAGTGTTCAAGCAGTGGCAGGATTATAGGAATGTGCTCATTACATGTCCTGAGAATGGATGGTTGTAACAGTTGTTGCAATTCTGTAATTTTCCCTGATGAGGGAAAATCTGCTTGCATTTTCAGCACAGCTTCTTATGGAATGCTATGAAGCAGACACATACTCTAAGGACTCACCAGTCTTGTGTTTTAATGAGTGTATAAGAAATGGCAGGCACTGGGACATCACAAAATTTAAGAAAACACAAATCAAGTAGGAACTTTTGTGTTTCTCTTTAACACACATCATCTCCAAGTATCTCAGAGACTTCACCCACATCTCCTGAAATGGGTGAGAGCCTGGATTTTCTGAGACTAGTAGAGTCCACAAAAGCCTCCACTGCCCGAGAGACTGACTGCACTGACCTTTCTCTGAAGTACTTGATGGCTTCCTGGTCTAGGAAGTTCTGCTCTTCTCGAAAGCCCTGCTCAAAGATTTTGCGCTTGTGTCTGAACTCAATGACAGTCTTAGTGTAAGAGTTCAAGGTAGTAACGGAGGCCGCCATGCAGCAGGTGAAAGAACCCCATGCCAGACTGTGGAAAGAGAAACCAGCAGACAGAGCTGGGTTAAGACAGTAGCTCATGTTGTATTTCTGGAGTCAAGCCATACACATATACAGGATGTGACCAGAGAGGAAGGTCAGCAGTGACAAACCTATTACCCTCATGTTACTTCAAATGATCCTGTGTGCGAGGGGATATTCTGGCTCTTCTTATGGGTTTGGGCACAACTTTCATCCCATGGAGAACCCTACTGACCTGACCTAAACATGGAGAGTCTTAACACACCCTGAGTCTCCTTTGAAGTATTTCAGAAGCTTGCAGGCAAGTGCTGGAATGTACGGAGCAGTAACAAACTTCTGGAGGAAGCTGTGCAGGGAAGTGTGAAGTCCAGAGACCTGGTCTTTGGGACCACAGGAATGTTCTCTAGCACCCACAGACAGTCTCCCCTTGCCATCGCATTCAGCCCTTCACTCCAGCTGCACATAGTTTGCAGTCTCTTGCTAACTAATTTAATTATCTGTGTCACCTACACGCTTTACCTATTCCTTTATGCACCTTGTCTATACAAAATATATTGATGTTGTAAATTATGCAGCACAGGATAAAAACAGCCACAGTGGCATTATCTTATAAATAAGAATTATAAACAGAGCTCTCAGCATGAGCTGTTTTCCTATTCTGCAAATGCTTTACAAGCAGGGAGGCAATTTCCCATTGCAAATTTAGACAAAGTTGAAAAAAACCCACACATCTTCAAGAACTGGAGAGTTTGGGGAAAAAAAAGTTCAAATAAACAGAAATGGCTTATTTCAATAATTTCAATTTCAAAGTGCAAGTGCAGTCCTTTAGGGAATCCCGTGGTGAGGAGGTGTGTGGAGGCAGACCTCTCCTGGCAATTTTGGAACCTGTTTGCCAGTTGCAATCAAATTAGAAAAAAATGGCAGTGAACTCTGTGATGATGAAGGCTTCCCATGGTTGGATGGAGAAGTGGAAAGGAAGCCTGTGGCTACGTGTGATCACCTAGCTTCATGAAGACCTAGCAAGGGACTTTGCACGCCGAGTCTGTGGAAAAGCAGTAACTTTCCCAAGCAGGGCTCGTAACCAACTTCAAGGAAACCTGAAACCACCTCGAACCCTCCATCCCTCTTTTTGAAGAGGGGAATAATCCTCATTGCCATTTGACAGAGGGGAAATAGTCCCACAAACAGTAATTTTTCCATTGTCACGTGGAAAGCTGATAGTCCGCATCTCCACTCATGCCCTCTGGCCCTCATCCATGGGTGAATTGTACCCTGGCACTGCTTTTCAGCAGTGCTTAAATTCTCTGTGCTCTAGCAGGTTGTCTACTAGGATGCTGCAAWGATACTTTTTACAGGAGACTCTGAATAACACTGATGTTGGCAGTACTGATATAGAGATATTTAAATCTCATGCTTTGGGACATCACCTTGCTGGGACAGTGCAGGATTTGAGGCTTTCCTTGGCTGCCAGGACGTGGCTTGAGAAAGCCCATGGCCTTCCCCAGGCTGCTGAGCCCCAGGGCAGGGCAAAAATGCTGCTGCTGTTCCTGTCTGCCTTGGGGGGCAGTGGCTGAGCTGCTGCTTGCCCTCAGGAGGGCAGAACTAATGGGCCCTGAGTGATCTCTTGACACTATATAGGACCCATGAACGTCCAGTGCCTCTTCTGGGACATGGGATGTCTTGTTTTGCACAAGGTAAGGGAAAATTAATCTAATGAGTGCTTTATTACACTAGATATTTAGCACCGTTCTGAACTTTGAGTATTTCAGTAAATTATAAAATAGATTACTAAAGACAAATAAATAGATAATACTATTACTTAACTATATTAATAAATATGCAGTTAATATATTAGTTATTAATGTCTATACTCTAAATACCTGTGCATACTATTTTTGTCACAATAAATACTTATTAATAAACAAAGTTATATTATAAATCTAATACAATTTATAGTTTCTAATGCGTTACTAAAATGTTAATAATTCCTCTCATAAAACACAGTGTAGTGGGGAGTGAAGGAGAAACTAATGATCCCCTGCAGTGCTGTGCATAAGAAATATTCCTATATTGTTTTTTCCAAAGATTGTTGTCTTTAAGACGAAATTAAAATCAGGCAGTATATTCAGAAAAGAGAGAGAAAAAAAAAAGGGAAAAAAAAAGTTTTCCCCAGCCATCCAAAGAGCTTGATGTCTCTAGAGGGCTATGAATGTTGTTTGTGACGCAGGTATTCTGTTCTCTGCATTCTCCTCTGCTTTTTACACTTAAAAAGTTGGAAGCAATAAAACACACCTGTCCTGTCATGGCCAGATTATTTCCATGTGGTTTTCAGAATATAACTAGAAAAGTTGAACCTAAACAAAGCTTGAAAGAACTCTCTCCAAAATGTCTGTTTTTCCAGGACTTCTCCACATGGTTCACAGAGAAGTATCGTGGTATCAGGAGCAGTATGCTGTCCTCTGCAGTTGTGTTAAAAATCTCAGGGTAAGGCTCCCTTGAGACATTAATTAAAAAAAAAAAAAAAAAAGCGAAGCCTCTGAAATGTCATGGCAATTACGTACCTAAATTGAACTTCAATGAGGGTGCTCAGTCTGTGTTGGTAATTGTGGCTGCTGTTTATTTACAAATGCTATATACCTGCTGATGTGCACAGCTGCTGCTACACACTTACTGAAAACTGCCCTGTAACTCCTCAACAATTGTGTGTCCACAGTGGATTTTGGATCCTTGGATTTTGGCAGCTGGAAATTCACATGCCTGTTCCTTGGAATTGGAGATGACATGTCAAATTGCCCAACAGATTGATGGGACAAGACCAAAATGAAAAGACATTAACTGGTAGTGACACTTACCAGAAGGACCATCCATAATCCCATGAATGTGGTCTCCAGTCCTCTGGCCCAAGGCTGACTGTCACTTGGAAAACTTGAGTATACATCATGTGTGCCACCATCCCCAGGAGACCTAAAAAGAAGGAATTATTAAGGGATTATTTATGCTAATGTTTTTTATGATTCTTGAGAAAGCTACTGCTGGAAATGCTTTGAAAGTTCCAGTGAAGGGCTGTTGGACTTGTTCTGCCTTCTGTCTTACTGTGGAGGAAGGAGCTGCATGGGCAGAGGAAAGGGGTGGCTTAGAGCTCGCTTTTTTACATTATGCTGAATTCTCAGTTGAAGTTAAAGGAAGAAACTCTTTGAAGAAAATCTTGCACAATTAGCATCACTACCAACCTTGCTGCTGCAAACCAAGGCTCTGCCACCCACAAGATATTTCACTTAGCCCATCAGGCAGGCCTCAGGTAAGGAGAAAGACTTTTGAAGGCAATACTGAATTGAATATGGTAATTCCAAACAGAACCATATTTTATCTGAGAAAAATAATCATAAATTTAAATCTTTAAAAGCCTTGGATGTTATACAAGGAAGTTAAGTTAACTCAGTATTCCTGATGATATGAGGTGGGAGCATACCCTAAGAATGCTATCGATTGCATGGTGTTGAAGACCCCATTTGTGACACCATTATGTGTTGCTGAGATAAGAGAATGTATGACTCGGTCTACTCACTATGATAGTAAAGAATCTCATAGCACAGACCTGTACTCTCACAAAATAGTCCCGTTCGTGAGCTGGCAGAGTAGGAATGGGTTGTAGTTAGATCATAACCCTGAGTTTGCTCTACCTGAAAACCTACCTTTATTTTTAAAGGAAGATGTTTATCTATGGAAAATCAAAAGAAATGATGAGCAGTAGCAACTCTGATGCTTGGAGGATTTTCTAGCTACAGCAGCCGGGGATGGGTCCCCTGTTAGTAATGAGGGGGTTCAGAAGGGTGACGCTAGCTGAGCTCAGCAGTGGCGTGGGTTTAGATGGTTAGCTCAACAGCAGAGCAGGATCATCCTGGTGCCAAACAGATCTTAGGCCTACAGATGCCGAAGAATCTCTTGGGCTGCAACATGGTTTAAGGCACTTTAAAACTCTAATGTTCTGCAGCGATAGGGTACAGTGTCAGCCCATGCACTGCGTATCAGCTGAGGTCACYACTTGCTGTTCTCTCTGACCATCCACTCTGCTCTACAGGGACCTTCCTCCACATGAAAAATCCTTGTTTGCTCTTCCCAGACGCCAATTTTGGCTCTGGTCTCCTGTTTACTTTCAGAGCCTAATGAACTTCATTTGTCTCACCACACATGTAGGATGATTCAGGGCCATTCTGGAGGAGTGAGACGGGGGGCATGTCATGTTAGTGTTGTCGGTATGTTAAGCAGGACATTCAACAAGACAAATGTCATATTTGATACAAATAACTGCAGAGGCTGAAAGAGGATATTTTATTGCAAGAAACTGCAGTGATTTGCTTTATGCCAGTGTGACACACTGGGAAGTTAGGAGGTGGAAAGCAGCAATTCACATTGGCAGAAATGAGATATTGGCAGGGTGGGCGGCCTAATGGGAGCACAGCAACCAGGTAAGCACCTTGCTTGGTTCTGGCTATATTTAATTTTCAGAATTCGTTGGGAGCCTGCAGTACTTTTAAAATCAGAGCATTTTTCTCCAGTTGACAGCTACAGCATTGATGTTAAAGTTTGTGGATTGCTGTTCATATGCCTACTGTCAGTAACTTTTCAACCCTGATAAAACATTACAGACAGACTGCCCAGAGACGTGTCACCTTCGCTCGGAGCCACCAGCGAGTTTGACATGGCCAGGACTACCTTCAGCAAGGCAATTCTTTACGATCACGCAAAACCTTAACAGGGRGTTCAGCAATGTTCAAGCCTTTCACTTGAAGGGCCTGCGTGGGAGTCCAGGATGACAGTCCCTTGATACAGGTGAGTAGGAGGTCAGCAGCAAGCACTGCTCCAACACGAGGATCAAAATGAAGCCATCTCACTGATTGCCTTTTGTGCCTAACGAGGTAGGGTCGGAGGAGGACCTTTATCTGGCTGTACTGACAACAGTGTTAGGTAATGGATAAGCTGTAGGACCACAAGGTATGTCTTTTTTTTCTGTGCTGCTTCGCACATTTTTTGCTTGTTCCTGATGCCACCCATAGGTTTAGTGGATTTTATATATATACAGAGAGAGAGAGAGAGAGAGAACTTCTCCTTGTGAATATTCTGTGATATTTTATGTTATGTTTTGAATGCAACAGAAACACTGACTGTATACATTTTCTTTTTTTCCTCTCTCTCTCTCTCTCTCTCTCTCTCTCTTTTTTTTTTTTTGAGATCATTAAATCTGCAGGATTACAGCTATTTCTAGGTCTCATGGTTAATGGGTTAATGAACTAGTTTTGGAAAAGACAATGTATTTTGAAGTATTTGGGGAGAAATTTCCTAAAAATATTACGTGTGGAACATATCATACAGATATAAATACCACCAGAGAGACTATTTACCTGGTACATTACTGAAATGTATGAAATAATATAAGGACATCATAAGGAAAAGCTTTTGACTGTGAGGGTGACTGGGCACTGGAACGGGTTGCCCAGAGAGGCTGTGGAATCTCCATACCTAGAGATATTCCAAGGCTGCCTGGCAGGGTCATGGAAACCTGCTCTAGGTGACTRCTTGAGCTAGGTGGGTTGAACTATGTGATCTTTAAAGGCCCTTTCCAGCCTCAATCGTTCTGTGATTCTGTTCTGTGATGCCATTTTTTTTTAGGTACGTCTTGAACCAGAAGTTTTCTTCATTCCAGATTCATGCTACCTAAGAATTAACACTTAAAGTTGCCAATGGAGAGGAGCAACTTTTTTTTCATAATTTTATAATCAGAATAAGGAAAACTGCTTGTCCAAAACGTTTCACTTGTAGAAATAATGATCCCCCCCCCCCAAAAAAAAGGAAATTTTGTTTCAAATAAAATGTTCATTTTTTTCAGCTTTGGAAAAAGGAGACTCTAATAGTAGTCTTCTTTCCTTCCTCAGATATTTTTGTCGCTGAAAATAACAGCATTTATTTTATTGCCTCTTGTTTTTCCATCACTGTCCCCTGTAAAACTTAAAGACCTATTCTTGGAATCTGATGTCTYTTTATTTTTTATTTTTTTTGTAAAGGGGAAGAAAAAACAAAAGACAAGAAAGATACATAAAAGAAAACTTTACAGTTCTTACAAAACTTAGAACTACACTTAATGTTAGAAAGAAAAGAGAAATGGCAAAGAACAGACACCTGAATTCTAAAGAATTCTAAAGAATTCAGTGTTGTTTGTTTTTTAAAATTGAACTGAAATGACATTGTTTATCCAAGCAACATGCAGAGGTGAAAAATATGCTTTGGGTGTTTTTACCAGATCTTTTTGTCCTCAGACCCAAATCTGATTTAAGTTTTCTGCTACAAATTGCACCGCACAGTTTGAAACAATCCCTGAGAACAGAAACTTCTGCACAGAAACAAGCACTGTGTGTTATAATCCCTTCTGGCTTGCAGTGCAGCAGCATGAAGGGCACTTGCTGTCTTTCCTAGTAGAAGTCCTGCCCACCAGAGATGCCCATGCAGGAGTGCTCACAACCGACAGCAGCTGGTGGCTGCTTCTGTAATGCCTGGGAAGCTGCTCTCAACTGTGCAGTTTTTAGATCAGAAGGGAAAAGTCCCTTAACTATAYGGTTGTATTTGATAACTTCCATTGGAGAAATGAATTCCTTAAGTTTATACATTGAAGGCCTCCAAATCACAGACCAAGCTTGAAAATGGTCTGCTCTGAAGGATATACGTGTCCCACTTCACTCTTAGGGTTGCTAGGGTTGCTCCTAAATGAAATTTGCTAGAACAATATATATTTTTTTTAGTTCGCATATCAAGCCTTTGTATTTTCTTAGAATTAACAAAGCAAAAAATTGTCAACCCTATACATTTTTCACCTCCTATGGGAAAAGCAGAGTGACACTCCTGAAAAAAACAAAGCTTAGGGATGCTATGGTTGGGTGTGGGGGGGGRGTGGAGACTTGAGGTCTAATAAATGTTGCCATTGGGAATTCAGGACTATATATTTCTACTATTCCTTGGCAAGAGGTAACGTTGTTATGCTTCACTATACATCTAGGGATGGCTTAATGTGGATAAGTCTTGCAGTGCTATATTTTTATTCTTTCRAAGTTTTAGAATTTTATTCTGTTCTCAGTGCAAGAGAAAAAGGGGAGATTCATACCTGAAAGTACAGTGAAGACAGCAGCAAAGGCATTTAACTTGAGCCCATCTATCACACTGCTTGAATGAAAGAGCTCTAGGCACATAAGGCTGAATCCAACGACTAACAGCATGATGTACAACACCTCAGACACTACTGACAGCCACAGGACACCTGCAATGTACAAGAGCAGCAACCAGTCACTTATTTGGTAAATACTTTCAAAAGCTCAAAATAAATTGGGAAATCAGCAATATATAGCAGTAGTTGGCTATTCAGACAGTTCAAATTTAGCAGACAACCACCCAAACTCTCCGGAGAAACAGAACAAGTGGTGAAGGAATGTGTGAAGAAGTGAGTCTTGGTGGAGGTACAGGGGAAAGAGAAGGCTGTTGCCTAGGAGCTCAGTTTGACTGAAGAGTTCATTGGTGTGCCCAGATCATCTTGGCTCCTGTGACCCAAAACATGAGACACAGCATCTATTTTTCTCTGCTATAACATGGTTTTGATGACCAGAATTTGGAATTTACATGATGAATTTACATGATGATGATGGTAAATGTTACCCTGCAGTATATGGGCTGGTGGGAGATGAAAAGATCTGGACTCTTTTTCTCAAGACTGTTGACAGCAAATGCTTTCAGTGTTTTAAAAAGTATACCAGTCTTGGGCATCAAGTGCCAGAATCCTCTTCTATAAAAGTCTTTTTCCTAGAAGTTAGTGTCCTGCAGAAGACTGTTCTGACTTGTGGGTTTGAATCCAGCGCACAGATCTCTATTGCCGGAGGCTGCTAGCTAAGCTGTGCCTGTAGGCAGTTATTTATAACATATCAGTGGATGAACTGCAGATAAAAATTTTGTCTGTTTCTGCACCCTCAACCCGCAGATATAATCCTATAGAATCTTTAAAGTTGGAAGGGACCTCCAGAGGTCATCTAGTCCAACCTCCCTGCACACGCAGGGTCAACTAGAGCATGTGGCACAGGGCTGCGTCCAAGCAGGTTTGGAAGATCTTCAGAGCAGGAGACTCCACAACCTCTCTGGGCAGCCTGTTATAGTGCTCTGTCACCCTYACTGTCAAGATTTTTTTCCTTAAGTTCTTGTGGAACTTCTGGTGCCTCAGTTTGTTGCTGTTTCTTCTAGTCCTATCGCTGGCCACCACTGAAAAGAGGCCAGCCCCCTCCTCCTCACTGCCTCCCTTGAGGTMTTTATAGACACTGATCAYGTCCCCCCTCAGCCTTCTCTTCTTCAGGCTGAACAGGCCCAGCTCCTTCAGCCTTTCCTCATGGGGCAGATGTTCCAGGCCCCTGATCATCCTTGTAGCCCTGCAYGCCCTGCACTGGATTCTGTAGATGAACAGAAAAGTTGCAGTGCCTCGTTGGACCTCAGGTAACCTAGGACTTTGGAGAGGTACCAGGGCAAGGGGTCTGGGCAGTGTAAAATGACAGCCTGGGGTTGGTGCATCCACTGAAAAGTTTACATTTGGAGCTTTCAGCCCAAAGCCTGTACATGGCCTGAGTCTCTTAAAGTCATCAAGCCATGGGGTGCATTTGAAAGGATGGTAACAAATACAAATATTAAATCTCTGCCAGATTCCCAATATTTATTTCAAAATGAGTACCTGCTAGCATTCTTTGCTAACCTGATTGCTAGAGAAATCATCTAGAAACAATGAGCAGTGATGGAAAATTTCAGTCTAAGTAGTTAAAATATGGAAATTTTAAGCATCTGAAGATGATGGCTTATATGAGAAAATTTTAGTCTGTAACCATAGAGACTGCTACAGATTCCACTTTATATGAGTATGTTCTCTCCTAAAAGTAAAAGCATGTGTTCAATAAGGGTTACAGTTGAGCTTATCAAATCAGGTATGCAAGCCTCATGGTTACCAAAGTATTCAAACCTCTTAGTGACCAGGAAGATCCCAACTCACATTTTGCCTAGGAACCTGTCTTGGTAAYTTTATCTGTTAATATTTGCTACTGATGTTGCCACTAGATTTGACCTTTTGAGTTTTAATGAAGCACTACAGAGCTGGCAATAAATAAGCCTTTTAATTTCTCACTGTGACTTTATGTATAATATTTCATCTGTCAATAGCAAACAGCTGCTTATGTCTTTGCTCTTAGTCAGTTTGGTGTCAGAGCCACTGGCAAGCTCTTCTGGAAAGAAGTGAGCGATGAGAGACTGACAGCAAGGGTGGTGTTCAGAGATATAGCAGGATTAAGGAGGGATTTTATCATCCTCACAAACAAAAGTTTCTATGACAAGAAAATGAGTTGGAAAGGCTCCTCTTTAGGTTAYCTAATCCTGACCTATAAACTGAAGCAGCGGAGAGCCCTAATTAATCCTAATTCATAAATGTGTCAACTCACCCAGCAGGAGTGATGTACAATATATCTGTCAAGATGTTTGTTGGTTGTTCTGATTGGACTTCTGAGGCAGGTTCACTGCTGCTGCCTATGCAAGCAGGGTAGTGCAACAGCAGTGACTGCCCTCCTATGTTAGGATGCAACTCTGTCCTTTGCTTCCCTGAGCATGAAATCCTATGAAATTCCCCTTGTTTCATTCCCTTTCTTTGCAAGACCTCTTCCTTTTCTATCTACCCTGTGCACATCCCCATGGGAGCCACCATGTGTCCCCCTGGCTCTCCCTTCCCAGGACATGAGCACTGTGCATTTTCATGGTGCAGAATAGTGCAGAAAATGGCACTGCGGAGCTCAGCATCCTGCAGCATCGCTGTAGTATCTGTACCTAACATGTGTCATTTTGGTACTGCTGGTGTTAAATAAGTTGTTCTTTGTGAATCTTTTTCATGAAAAATATTGATTTAACTTCTTCTGTGGTTTTATGAGCATCTGGTTGTATTTAATCCAAGAATTTACAGGCACATTTTATCTCAGCTTTTCTAAAGTTATGGTAGTGATTTTGAAGGAATAAAAAGTAGGGATTTCAGACTTGTCCCACAATGTTCCTATCTTCATCCATCGATTGAATCTGCACTTAGATTATTAGGGTCCTGATGTGACAAGAGAATTCCAGAGTCTGTTTGATATGARTGCTACTGGGTTAGGGATGTAAGAAACCCAGGCAGACTAGTCCACTTGAGAACTCCAAATTCAATTTGCCTTGCATCTCCTGTCAAAGCCTCTGGCCTGCTTCCATGTTTAAGGCAGAGTGGAGAGCTGGCAGGCAAGGAATAATAAAGTATTCTCAGGACCAGGTCCTGATGTTTAGTGTTATTTGAAGTAGACTTATAAACATGATTCATTTTTTGAGCGCAACCTTTTCCTAAAATGCTATGCTCATTTGAAAGTCAGACCTAGATTTATTTAGTAAATAAAACATGCCACCTGTCCTCAATTTTGGCCAGCTATAAACAACCAAAAATACTAACTTCACTTTCAAAGTTCCAGTGATTCTTTTTGGGTGTCTCTTCAGCTTGATTGCTACTGCTTCCTTCTCACCTACTGCTGCAAAAGACTATCATCATCCAAAACCCTTCACCCTGAAAAATGAACTACAGCTGTTATTCACTCACTTTACGGTGGGTTGTGAATGTTTTAAGTTGACTATGGAAACCAAGAGCTTGCRGCTTTTCTAAGTTTCCAGAACATCTGCTAGAAGCTGAGATGGTTCATTGATATTAGTATGTCACTACCGAGTTTCAAGAATGTACTATGAAATAATCTAATGCAGCTAACAAGGAGTAGAGGGAAAGGTGAATTTTAATGTAAATGGCATCAAAAAGACCTCAGAGCTAATTGCTTCAAGAAGTTAGGAAAGCTAACGTGGGCTGAGGCTCCTGGGGATCGCTCCGAGTTGGCTCGTGGGGGTTAGTTCATGTACATCAGCTATATGCAAGTTTTATCYGTTGCTCACTTCTGAAATGGTGCCTAAAGCTGGGTGCCGTGGATGTGAGCGCAGTGCGTTTCAGCTGGCAGGAAGCTGATGAGCTGCACAGCACACCCCTGCCACAGGGCCCACGTTAACATATCCAGAAGGAGAGCAAGTGAAGCAGCTCAGCTGTGTAGGCCCGGCCTATCTTCCCAATTTATTTACGCACTTCATTTGACAGTCACTTGATAAAATGGGTAAAAGGCCAGGACAGGAGCCCTTGACTTCACTGTCTTCTCAGCAGCTTTCACTCTTCATTCATGGATTTTGCATTTAGCTCTGGAATGTTACCCTTGGCATCCCATTCCTTTCCTTCCCGTATATCCACACTGAAGGATAGTTTGGASATTCCAGCACTTTCTTACAATTGCAGGAGTTATGGGTTCAGAAACATTCAGTCTGTCTCTTTTCYACTGGGCAAGGATTTATATTATGCAGGAGATGATCCTCTTTTCTCCATCTCTCTMCTTTGCACTCTGATTGACTAATGGAGAGGAGGGGAGCATATTAAAGGATTTCTTTTTCTTGTTCTGAGCAGTCTGAACCCTTCAGCATTTATTTCTGCTCTTCATTTGACTATTCATACTGACTGCTATGACCATCCTCCCTGATAGTAAGTAAAAAATCACTAACTAGTTAAAATTKTTATTGAAATCTGCCCTTCCCTGACACGCCCTTCTTGGCCTTTGATACTCTTACCATAAATGGATCTCAGAAGCAATCTCCCTGCAGTCTCGCATGTGCTGAATGAATCTAGACCATACCCAAAGAGCAAATAAAATCGTTGCTGACACCATCTTAACCTGCTATAGAGCCTTGAAAAGCCCTGGTTTCACTTGAAATAATATACGCATGGAGCAATCTCAGAAAATTGATAAACAGCTTTCAGTAGAAGATGGATTTTTTCATAAAAGTCAAAGTTTTTCATAAGAAGATACTCAGGAAAAAAAAAAAAAGCTATTTCAAGAAGGATTTAATTATATCTCCCTCTTTCTGTTATGCTGTAACCACTTCATCTACTTGACCCTACCCTCACTCTTGCTTGTGCCATCTAGGTCCTTCTGATGTACCATCTGATAGAAAGTTAATTGAATTTAGAGTGTTTGGTCTCAACTTCTGTTTTGCTATGAAGTTTGCAGCTTCTGTTTCAAGTGAGAAAAAGGAAGTGTGTGCAAGAGCGAGAGTGTATGCTTAGAGTTTTCTGAAGCTGTTAACTGGCCCAATAAGAGATCTTGCCTTTTCAGTGTCTTCTAAATTTTGGAACATAAGGGCTT